TCTCGTGGATGTAGGCACATTGCCGAACCACGTAAATCTCTGTGTGTTATTTTCTCCTGCTTTCTTAATTGTTTGATTCCTTTCTATTCACCATAATTGCTGCACGATCACAACAATTGGTATCAGAGCTAGACTACGATGTCTGGGATTTTCTCTACAAAATTCGACATCATGAAGTTCGACGGAACTAGGAATTTCGGATTATGGCAGAGGAGGGTGAAGGACCTGTTAGTGCAGCAGGGCATGGTGAAGGCATTATACGGAAAACAACCGGCAGGAATGGACAACATGGATTGGAAAGAATTGGAAGCGAAGGCTGTGGCGACTATTAGGCTTTGTCTGGCTGATGAAGTGATGTATCACGTCATGGATGAGGAATCACCGGCGGAAGTTTGGTTGAAACTGGAAAGTCGGTATATGTCCAAGTCGTTGACGAACAAGCTCTATCTTAAGCAGAAATTATATGGTCTTAAGATGTCAGAGGGCTCGGATTTGACCCAACACATCAACGTGTTCAATCAGATCATCAGCGATCTGAAGCGAGTTGATGTGAAGTTCGAAGACGAAGACAAGGCGCTGATGTTGCTGAATTCCTTACCGGCGTCTCCTACGTACGAGAATTTGGTTACGACTCTGATGTGGGGGAAAGAAACCCTCGAATTGGAGGATGTCACAGGTGCTCTGTTAGGTTTTCATCAGCGGAAGAAAGCCAGTGATGAGGCTTCACAAGGTGAAGGGCTTGTGGTGAAGGGTAACCAGGAACGTGGAAGAAGCAAATCTCGGAATGGATCGGGTAACAATAAAGCCCGGTCCAAGTCGAGGAAGAAGAAGAAGGACGTCTCTGTCTCGTGTTACAAGTGCGGGAAAAATGGGCACTTTAAACGGGACTGTCCAGAGAAAAAGAAAGGGGATTCAGAGAACAAAGAGAGTGCATCAAAGTCTGCAAACGTAGTGGAAGAAGAAGATTCAGAGAGTGGTGACGGAGATATGTTTTCTGTTTTATCTAGTTCAGATCGTTTAACAGATTCTTGGATTATGGATTCAGCATGTTCCTATCACATGACACCCAACAAAGATTGGTTTGACACCTACAGGTCAGTAAATTTTGGTTCTGTTCTGATGGGTAATGATGCATCTTGCAAAGTTGTTGGAATAGGAAATATTAGAATTAAGATGTTTGATGGTATGGTTAGAACGTTGTGTGATGTTAGACATGTACCGGATCTAAGGAAGAATTTGATTTCATTGGGCACTTTGGATTGTATAGTTACAAATCTATAAGTGGAGTAATGAAAGTAAGTAAAGGCATGCTGACAGTGATGAAGGGACAGAAAGTAGTAGGAAACATTTACAGACTGCTGGGTACTACAATTGTAGGTGGAGTTGCTGCTGTAGAGTCTGAATCAGATAATACAGTCTTGTGGCATATGCGGCTGGGTCATATGAGTGAGCGTGGGATGATAGAGCTTCATAAGAAAAATCTATTGAAGGGTGTCAAGACATGCAAGCTCAATTTTTGCAAATATTGTGTTTTTGGAAAACAGAATAGGGTGCAGTTCAAGACAGCCACACACAAGACAGAAGGGGTTCTCGACTATGTCCATACAGATGTTTGGGGACCAGTTAGCGTACTATCACGGGGAGGATACATGTATTTCGTGAGTTTCATTGATGATTACTCACGAAAGGTCTGGGTGTACTTCATGCGGCACAAGTCAGAAGCGTTTGCCAAGTTCAAGCTGTGGAAAGCTGAAGTAGAGAACCAGACAGGGAGGAAGATTAAATGCCTCAGGTCAGATAATGGTACTGAGTACACAGATTCAAAGTTCCAGGAGTTGTGTGAGCAGCATGGGATCAAGAGACACTTCACAGTCCGCAAGACACCACAACAAAATGGTGTAGCGGAAAGGATGAACAGAACGATAGCCGAGAAAGCTCGGTGTCTCAGGTTGAATGCAGGGCTTGCAAAGAATTTCTGGGCAGAGGCAGTGAATATGGCATGTTTCTTGATTAACAGATCACCGAGGGCAGCACTAGATGAGAAAGTATCAGAGGAGGTGTGGACAGGCAGTGAGGTAGACTACTCTGGTTTGAGAGTGTTTGGATGTCCAGCCTATGTACATGTTTCTAGTGAGGAGAGGTCGAAGCTTGATGCGAAGTCTAGACAGTGTATTTTTCTGGGATATCAGAAAGGAGTGAAAGGCTTCAAGCTCTGGGATCCGAAGGCAAACAAGATGGTGATCAGTAGAGATGTGGTTTTTGATGAAAAAGCCATGTTGCAGCGTACTCAGGAAGAAGAGAAACAAGTACCAGAAAACTGTAGCACTAATGACCATGTGGTGCAGGTGGAGCTAGAGAATCATGGTAAAGAAGAGGATGCTCAGCATGTAGAGCGTTCTATCTCAGGTGATCAACAGCATCATAGTATAGCCACAGACAGGCCCAAACGCAATATCAAGCCACCTACCAGGTATGGTTTTGAAGATTTGGTTTCTTATGCGCTTATTACTAGTAGCGGGGATCCTACAACTTTTCAGGAGGCAGTACAAAGCCAAGAGAAAAGTAGATGGATGGGTGCTATGGTGGAGGAGATGGAGTCTCTGCATAAGAACCAGACGTGGGAGTTGGTGGAACTTCCCGAGGGGAAGAGAGCAATAGGGTGCAAATGGGTGTATAAGAAGAAAGAAGCAGTATCAGAAAATGAGGGAGAAAAATTCAAGGCTCGTCTAGTAGCAAAGGGTTACTCACAGAGAAAAGGGGTTGACTATGATGAGATCTTCTCCCCCGTGGTCAGACACACTTCCATCAGGACAGTGTTGGCACTAGTAGCACATTCAGATATGCAGTTGGAGCAGATGGATGTAAAGACAATTTTCCTTCATGGCGACTTGGAGGAACGGATTTACATGGTACAGCCAGAAGGGTTCAGTCTCCCTGGAGAGGAACATTTGGTCTGTAATTTGAAGAAATCACTTTATGGGCTGAAGCAGTCTCCGAGGCAGTGGTACAAACGATTTGACTCTTACATGATCCGAATTGGCTACAAAAGGTGTGAGTATGATTGTTGTGTCTATGTAAAAAGGCTTGATGATGATTCATTTATTTTTCTGTTACTTTATGTGGATGATATGTTGATTGCTGCCAAGAGTATGAGTGAGGTCAACAAGTTGAAGACTTTGTTGAGTAGAGAATTTGACATGAAGGATTTGGGTGCGGCCAAGAAGATTCTTGGGATGGAGATTCGCAGGGACAGAGCTTCTAGGAGATTATGGCTATCTCAGCATAGCTATGTTGAGAAGGTGTTGGACAGGTTCAGTATGAGTTATGCAAAATCAGTAAGTACACCTTTGGCGAATCATTTCAGATTGTCTACCGCTCAGTGCCCGAAGACAGATGATGAATTTCATGACATGTCAAAGGTCTCATATGCTAGTGCAGTGGGGTGTTTAATGTATGCTATGGTTTGTACAAGACCAGATTTGGCACAAGCTGTCAGCGTGGTTAGCAAGTTTCTTTCAAATCCGGGTCGACAGCATTGGGATGCAGTCAAGTGAATTTTCAGATACTTGAGGGGCACTACAGACTATGACATCAGGTTTAGCAGACAACAGAGTGACCCTTCAGTTATGGGATATGTGGATGCAGACTATGCAGGGGACTTGGATGATAGGAGGTCTACCACAGGTTATGTGTTTACTCTTGTGGGAGGACCTATTTGTTGGAAGTCCATGGTACAACCTATAATTGCACTATCTACTACTGAGTCAGAGTATATGGCAGTAGCTGAGGCTGCCAAAGAGGCTTTGTGGCTTACAGGTTTAGTCAAGGAGCTGGGTGCCCAACAAGGTGGAGTTCAATTGCATTGTGATAGTCAGAGTGTCATTTATTTGGCGAAGAACCAGGTGTATCATGCGAGGACCAAACATATAGATGTGAGGTTTCATAAGATCAGGGAACTGGTTTCTTTTGGTGAACTATTACTTGAGAAAGTTCACACTTCTGAGAATGCAGCAGATATGTTGACAAAACCTGTTACTACAGACAAGTTCAAGCACTGCTTGGACTTGATTAATGTCTCTAGTTGCTAGATGGGAGATGCCACAACTCAGCGTCCCCGGTGGAGTTCCCGAATACATGTCCTCTTTTTTCTTCTAAGGGGTGAATATTTGCCAAGGTGGAGATTGTTAGAGTATGTGTGACTCATATTTGTTGTGTGCATAATGGCAAGGAGGCAGATGCCGTAGCGGAGTGGAGCGAAGCGGAGCTCGCGACGGCATCTGCCTTGCGGGATTTATATATAGGGGACGCTGATTAGTTGGGGGTGCGGGGGCAACACCCCCGTGGTACGGTACAGGGGTATTTTTGTAAATACGTCCATATTAGGGTTATATAAATACTTAAGATGTAACCCTATTCAATAATGGAAAAGAACGGCCGCTCGCTCTCGTGGATGTAGGCACATTGCCGAATCATGTAAATCTCTGTGTGTTATTTTCTCCTGCTTTCTTAATTGTTTGATTCCTTACTATTCACCATAATTGCTGCACGATCACAACACATAGTCATCTGCCCACTTGCTTAATTATACAATTTTTGTGCATTAAGATCATTTAGTTTGAACACAATACCATTAGCCACAACGTGAATATTTTTGCTACGCCAAATTGTACTAGCAAAATCCCTAGAGATATGGATATTAAGACCTCTTTAACAGACAGAAAATAACATAAAAATATCTGTTTATTTTTATTATTATTATTATTTTTTTTTGGTTTAGCATATCAAAAAGGGGTTAATCTCATTTTGCAAAAAAGGCTTTTTCCCCCTTTTAGTGCTTTTTCCTTACAAGCCCTTTCAACATGGATAAAACTTTTGATCTCAATCTTTATTACAAATATGAACAGCAACACTACCAAAAAAAAAAGAAAAACAAGTAAAATGAAGGTAAGAGATGATTAAAAGTTCCAAACCAGGTTTCTAATACTAGAGACGAGACAATTCTAATTTTTTTGAGTGAGAAGCACTTGGTTGATCATTTTCTCCAGAATCGCATAAGCTGAACCTGTGGTGGCATCTTCAGCCTTTTGCTTCCAATCCAACGCCTTATTCTTCATCTCTTTGCCTCTCTCTCCACCCATCAACTCTCTCACAAGAATCTCAATTTCATTTCTCTTAGCGTCATTGTCTATCTCCATGCCAATGCCCCATTTAGTGCAGCAGTACCAACAATTGGTTTGTTGCTCAGCGAAAAATGGCCAACAGATCATTGGCACTCCAGCGTTTATACTTTCAAGAGTCGAATTCCACCCGCTGTGAGTTAGGAATCCTCCGATGGCTGGGTGGCAAAGAACGTTTTCTTGTGGGCACCAACTTGCTAATAAGCCCCTGTCTTTTGTCTCCTCCACAAATTCAAGTGGAAGAACAGCCAAATCACCGGTAACAAGGTCAGGCCTTATTACCCACAAAAAGGTTTGATTGCTATTAGCTAGTCCCCAAGCAAACTCAACCATTTGGTTTGGTGTCATAACAGTGATGCTTCCAAAATTCACGTACACCACAGACTTAGGATCTTTGGAATCAAGCCATTCAAGACACTCTGGCTCTTCTTTCCAAAGATTTGATCCAAGCAACTTCAAGTTGTTATCATTGATCTGATTTTGGAGAATATGTAATGGTCCAATAGAATAAATTGGAGGAAGAATGGATGAAAGTGCATCAATAGCATCATGCTCCAATTCATCAAATGTGTTCAAAATTATTGCAGAAGCTTTTTTAGCTCTTTCCATTACATACACAACAAAATTTAACATATAATCATCTGGGTTTGTCGTCCTTATAAAACTTGGGATGTCCTTCAAACGTATATCTTTCATACTAGGTATTGAATATATAATAGTGTCCAAATATCCATTTGTAAAATAACTAGCATCTGCACATCCAAAAAATTAAAAAGGTCGATGTTAAAATAGAACTGCTGAAACAATATTAAATGTCTTGAAGATTTACTTTTGAATCAAATTCAATGTAGCACAATTCATTTCAAAGGGGGCATACATATGAGGCACGACAAAATGAGTGAGACAAAGAGACACAGTCTCAGACCCTTATCAATATAACTGTACATACACACATCCGTAACTATGTCGGACCGGATTTTGAGTGATCCGAATCTGAATTTAATTTCAAAAGTCTAATCTGAATTTAAACTATCCAATGAATTTTATTTTTGTGATCCGTATTTGAATTCATTAACAATTCGAAAATTTAATTCGATCCGAATAACTTAAATAACTAAATTTTAACAAATTATACCTACATGGCAACTAAATTTTTTTAAATAATCATTTAATTTTTTTAATATTTATATAAAAATATATAAATAATTCGAATTGAATCATAATTGGATCGGATATAGGTATATTCAAAATTGAATCCATAAAATATAAAATATTGAATTTCGATTCGGATTCGGATTCGAGTTTAAATTATAGATAAAATAATATTAATTAATCTATATCCGGCTAACCGGATTCAAATCAAAATATGATTCATTGACAGGTCTACTCGCAATTATGTAATTGTATGAGTAAAAGATAAACATACTCTCAATGCTACATCACCTATCGTCGTTTTCAATTTAATTTAATGGTAGGGCATTTCACGTGAATTCAAATGTAATCCATTATTTATAAATAGGGCTCCTCAGTCCTCACTCATTGACTATAAATGAGTGACTACTATTTAAAATAAAATAGAAGTGTAATATAAAACATCTGCAGGCATATGCACATATGCAGTTGGTTAATAGTTGATTAATACCTTTGAGTGGTGTATAACCGTCTTTGATGAGTTTGTGATATTGCATGTAAGCCAAGAAGCCACAAGCACTGGCGGTCCAGAAGAAAACATCTGGGATGCCCAATTCTTCAGCTGCTTCGAGTGTGAAGCTCATGATAACATCAGAAACTATACAAGTAACAGGAGGCACCGTTGACGACGAGGTTTCATTAAGTTTGGAAAGAAGGTCTCTGAATGGAGCCAAACAGTGGTTATTGGTAGATTCACAAAGAGAGGGGATGTCTTGCGTGGCATCAGGATCTGATGGAGGAAGGAAATCGGGAATGGTTTCGAATCGGAACGACGAAAGGCCGTTGAGTGAGTTAGGACCTCGAGATTTCAGAAGGCGTCTGTGGTTGAACTCGGTGTTTACGAAGGTGATATGAAAGCCTTTGTGATGGAGGAGTTTTGCTAGATTCAGCATGGGGCTTATGTGGCCTTGAGCTGGGTATGGTATGCACACTGCATGAGGCTTCTCTGCCGAAGTAATGGAACTCATTCTCTCTCTCTCTTTCTCTCTCTCTCACACACACACTATCTACCTCTCTCGGCAAGATAGATGCAGTTTTATAAACCCAAGAAAGAGGGTCAAATGAATTGTTTAGGTTTATGATACACATCGTAAAAGTAAAACAAATCAAGCAAATGCTGGCATTATAATCTTTCTTAAAGCCGAACCAGTTGGCCAGGTACGTCTCCGATTTCAAAGTACTATTATAATAAGGGAAATGTTATTTGAACCACTGATATTAGAATTAGATCGGATTAGTCAATTGGACCAGTTGGATTGTGAACTGAGGCCTACAACGGTCTGGTTCTTGAGTTGGACCGCATAGGCATGAGAATTGTCTTTTAACCGTTAAACCGGTTGGTTTTTGATGAAAACCGGTGAACCAAATAGGTTCTGAAAACCAGACGATTGAGATTTCACTCTTTTGGCTCTCAACTTCAGCATTCAAAGTTTAAGTCTTCCTTCTTAGGCAACGAACGAGTAGCAGTTCAAGTCTTCCTTCTCTTAGCACAACTCTTAGCAAGCAACAATGACGAGGTCCAGGCATGGCGACATTAGAAATCTTGTGACGAATTGCTCCCTTTTCCAAACAATGACAACATCTTCCATTCCTCTTTGTTCAATCATCTCTCTCTCTCTCTCTCTCTCTCTCTCTCTCTGATGCACTCGCCTATGACTGTTAGTCATGAAATGTGTTTAAGACAAATGGTCATTTCACATTCTTCAAAGAAAAGCTCTGTCCTTTCTGTTGGGAATTAACTACACGACAATTTGATCAGTACAATGACAAGAAAATAAATAAGTGGAATACAGAAAATCAAAGCACAACTCACAACACCAAAATTTACGTGATTCGGCAAAATTGATTTGTCTACGTCCACGAGATGTAATCCGATCTCCTTTCTTTACTATTGAGAGAAAATGGGTACAATGGTACAAGCCTCACCTCTCAGGTTTAAATCCCGAACCCAAGCCCTTAACCCTTGTATAACTCATTTAACCTTACCCTCTCAAACCCTGAGTAAAGAAAACATCTCGTACTCTCAACAAGAGAATGCAAATTAAATAAATACAATTTTCGGGATGATCTCAAAACCAAGAGACTCATGCCTATTTATAGGCATCTCAAGGTGATGACAGATGAACTTCTTCACATTTAAACAATGCATTTGATTGCTCCACTTATATCCTCAAATAAGATTTTATCAATGACATCATCTAACTAATTACAAAGAAACTCTTATCTCATTCAAGAAATGAAATTGCTCAACTTGTATCTTTCAATCAAATTTTAGCAATGATGTTAGATAACCAATCAAAATAGGTCTTTTTAGCAATGATGTCACTAAACTAATCAAAATTTGAGGCACTGCCAACAAATCTCCACCTTGGCGAAAATTTCATAACCTCCACCTGAAACATCAGGCCCGCATCTAAATTTGAGATGGCTAACCCCACACCTTGGGATGCCTCGTCAATCATTAAGAGTGTGAAAGATTGATCAAACCCAAGCAATGCTTGAACTTTTGTGTAGTCAAAGAACTTTGTCAATATATCGGTTGCATTACTCTCCGTGTGTACTTTCATCAAACATATCTTGCCATCCTCCACCCATTCTCTGATATTGTGATACCTCAAGTAGATGTGTTTCATCCTGGCATGATAAACTTGATTCTTTACTAAGTGAATAATAGTTTGACTATCACAATATAGCTCCAAGCTTTCCTACTTCAATCACAATTCTTTGACCAACCCTATCAATCACAAAGCCTCTTTGGCAGCTTCCATCGTTGCCATATACTCCACTTCCATTGTGGATAAAGCGAGGATTGATTGAAGTATAGCTTTCTAATTGATAGTTCCACCAGCAAGAGTGAATATATAGCATGTACTAGACCTCTGTGTATTCAGATCACCTGCATAGTCTGAATCTACATAGCCCACAACATATCCTATCTCATCTTGTCTCTGATACAAGATGCCGAAATCTAACGTACCTTTTAAGTCCTTGAAAATCCATTTAACTACATTCCAATGCTCCTTTCCTGGATTTTCCATGTACTTACTTATAATGTTGACTGCATGTGAGATATCTGGCCGACTACAAACCATGACATACATTAAGCTTCCAACTACACTAGCGTACAAAACACGGGACATTTCCTCCACCTCATCGCCTGTAGATAGACATAATCTAGAAGATAATTTAAAGCGGTTAGCTAGAAGTGTATAGACTGGCTTTGAATTAACCATGTTAAACATCTCTAGCACCTTCTCCACATATTTCTTCTGTGAAACCCATAGTTTGTCTTTTTCTTTGTCCCTCCGGATTTCCATGCTAAGGATCTTTTTAGCATCACCTAGATTCTTCATGTCAAACTCACTCCATAATCTGGACTTTAGCAAATCTACCTCATGCATGTTATTTGAAGCAATTAACATGTCATCAACATAGAGCATCAAAATAATAAAAAAATCATGTTCAAGCATCTTATAATAAACACAACTATCATAGTTGTTTCTCATGTAGCCAACATGCACCATAAAGGAAATCAAACCTCTTATAACATTGCCTAGGAGATTGTTTCAACCCATAAATAGATCTTTTAAGTTTATGTACCTGATTTTCTTTACCTTGCACCTTGAATCCTTATGATTGCTCCATATATCTTTCCTCCTCCAATTCTCTGTGAAGGAGCGCTGTCTTGACATCAAGTTGCTACAACTCAAGTTAAACATAGCTACCACGACTAACATAACACAAATAGAAGAATACTTTATAATGGAAGAAAATAATTTCATTATAGTCAATCCCTTCGACTTGCCTATATCCTTTTCTACAAGACGAGCTTTAAATTTTTCTCCTTCATTTTCTATTGTAGGTTCTTTTTTTTTGACATACCCATTTGCAACCAATCATCTTTCGCCCCTTGGATTTTTCAACAAGCTTCCAAGTGTTGTTTTTGTGTAAAGTCTCCATCTCATCCTCCATTGGTATCATCCACTTTTCACTTTCTTTGTCATTGAAAGCCTCCTAAAAATAAGATGGATCTCCACTACCAACAACCAATGCAAAAGAAACCATATCCTCAAAACTGTACTTGATTGGTGCCTTATGAATTTTTTTCTCTCTTCTAGCAGCTAGAGTTATGGATTCTTTTTGCTCGTCATCACCACCAGATGTATCTCCCTAGGAGGACATTGGTACATCATCCTCTTCATTGGGCAGTTGGATTTCATCTGGCTCTATCTATGTTGAGAATTCATGATCCCCCACCTTTTTATCAGTTTCTTCGCTGTTTGAGTTTAGCATATGTTCTTCATTGAAGACAACATTCCTGCTAATTGCAATCTTTCGTGCAATTGGATCCCAAAGTTTTATAACCTTTCACGCCTTTTTTGTAACCAATAAATATGCACTGTTTGAACTTTGGATACAACTTCGAGCGTTGCTACTCTTGCACATGAACATAGGCAGAACAACCAAATATTCTTAAATTAGAATAATCAACTGGTTTACCTGTCCACACCTCCTCAGGGACTTTTGCATCAATAGCTGAACACAGTGACCTATTAATAAA